CACTCGCTTCTAGTTTTTTTTAACATCATTGCAATTATGCGAATTTATCCATACGAATCCCACAAAGGGAAGTAAAGACCGGTCCTTTGGATGAGACTGTATAAACCGAGGTTCCGTGTCACAGTAGGTGTTAGTACAAAAAAGATCCTCACTGCTCAAAGGCCATAAGTGCCGACCATAGGTCTAAATTCAGTCAAATGATTTTTTTTTTTAATATGAGTGAAAAATTCTCGAAAAGACATTACACAAGAAAAAGAGAAAAAAATTTATAGAAAATTCGAGCCAATCGTAATTTGCTAAACTTCAAATTAAAATGGCTTATCCACAATACTTCGTATCAGTAAAGTATCTATAAAAATATAATAAGACAATCACATATAGTTTCTCTTAAATTTTGTTAGCATGGTCAATGTTAGACAAAATATTTCAAGAGCACTTCTTTCTTCTTTCTCCTGTGTCTTAAAAGAGTCTTTGATAAGCTTTTAAAAATCCCACAGTGATGGATATTGCGGTGTATTCAACCATAGGCGCTTGGTTTCAGGACTGTATATTTTGTGTATTATGTGTTTTTTTAGGTGGGTCTGAATACATTTTTTAAAACAAAAAAGTCGTTGTAATTAGGACTTTTAAAATTATATATAATATTTCTTTATATAGAAAGTTGAAAGGTTCGACGCTTTTTTACTGCTTCGATAAAATAATTCCTAATTGATAACATATTTATTAAAGTTAAGAATAAAAGATCTTAAAATAACTAAAAATTTTGTCTGAATTGTTTTTTTTAGTATATTTCATTTTTTTTTTTTTGCATATTCATAAGGGAGTTATAAATTTACGATTCTATAGAAAGGATTTTATAAGAAGTACATTCAATGGCGTCCTGATAGGAATAAAATATCCACTGCACTGGTGTGTTCGGTGAAACGGAATACTGAAAATAATTAAGGTTTTGCATTTTTCGCCATATCTTGCGCACTGCACACATAAATATTTCCGAGAAATTAGTTTTCATTTATAAGTCTCTGCGCCCTACATGTACGTACAGCCGCAAATTGCCTTACATAATTTTAGAGGTCCGTGTTTGCTATGCTCCTATTTTGTAAGGTTTAATGGACGTTTGAGCTCGAATACTTCTCGTTATCTCCCCATATTTCATAATATTTTTTTTATCTGTGTTACACGTACAGATTACAACACGAGTATAGACAGTCCATGTCTGCATTCCAGTCTGTTATTAATTGGTACTGAGATGCGAAATTCTACATCATTGATAGCGCTGTATATTGAGCAAGGATGATAATAAAAAGACATGTTTTTAGTTACATTGTCTGAAATAAGGGTCTAGAAGAAGAAATATTAGTTAATATGGATATAAATTATATAGAACGTAAGTACACTGTAAATCAATTTTCTGAGTTTTAAAAATATGTACGTATTCAAATATTAAAAATATGTAAGTATTCAATCACTGCATTACATGACCTATTATGAGCCTTTTTTAAGATATTTGCACTAAAGATGTTTTTTTCATAACTTTTTCGAATTAACACTATAGTAACTGTTAGCTATATGTTACACAAGTGGCGTGTGCCTACTTAATTTTTAAATGAACTACAATGTAAAGAGATAAGAACCGCCCTCATCCACTAGGAACGAATTTCGTACTCTCTATCTCTCTTGACATCTATAATTAGAACTGCGCGTAAAGCAGTACTTGACCAAAATAGCCGAAAGAGAGTCGGGGATTACCAGTTGCATATTTTAGAAGAGTCAGTGGAGTTGTCTTACTTGCTTAGTGGCGCTGGATCGCGAACGGAAGTAGTATTAAGATGCCAGTAAGCGCTTTGCGCTGCGCTTAGCGCTTAAAAATGGGTCTTTAACAAAATAATATTGCAGATGAGCATTGACAAGGTATGCAAATTTAAGAGTTCTATTTCTATTGAAGAAGCAGTTATCTATGATGTCCAAAAGTCTGGTCTTAAATTTATAGTGGGGAATTCTTGTATAAAGTGTTGAAAAGTCGCACGTTTTGATGCTGATTTGGTAACATTTTGACTTTTCCTGAATTTTTCCGTCATTGCTCTAATTTTTTTTGTTGAAGAGTAATAAAAGCAGAGGCATATAAAACCATATGTCTCTGATGAAATAGTGAGATAACAAACAGCATTCAAGCTCAAAGTCCATCAAAACAGTACAACTCGGGAAAAGAGCAAATATGGACCTCCAAAAAGATCAGGGTTGGGATCAGGTGTCATAGAGGAGTGAGCATCCCTTGCCGATCGGTCACAACCGCCGTGTGCTCCTTGTCATGATCGGTAAATAACGGGAAAAACCGTCGACAATTTAGTGTATAAATAGTGGCCTAACAATTAGTATGAAAAACGTCAGTCAGCTTATGACTTAATGATTGATAGCTTGTATATGCTGACAAGGTTATTGTATCGACCATAGAACTTACGAAATGATATCTGCAAACAAGACTGTTTATATTCTTGTTTCATCAACTTGTTTATAATTTACCTCGTTTTAGAAATTGTCCATACGTAGAGCATGCTCTGGCGTATCGAATCAACTGGGAGACAAAAAACCCATACGCAGGTGATAAGAGTATCTTGCTACATAAGTAAGGGAATTTGACGATTGAAAAGTTCGCAGCTAGGTTAAGGACGCCTATGAAATATACGCCTTTATATATTCAGGGAAAATGAATACAATTTTAATATTTTTTAAACAGCGGTAGTTTTGATAAATGTGAATTGTGGTGATTGCATTTGTATATATCGGGTCTCTGCTGAGTTCGGCCAAAGTGACATCGCTTACATCAGTTGTTTGTCACGTGACAGGTTTAAAATTGGACCATATATGTACTACTACAAATATCGTAAAAGTTCAACGATATACGGGCATCTTTCCGCTATAAAATTTATTTTGTTTTCTTTGAGACAAATTCCTTAACCCGAAAAGTGCTGGGAGCAACTTCCTCATGCTCGAGAATTGTTTAAAATTTAGCCGTCTTTCTATAAACTCCAAACAAAAATGTAATACGCATTGGAATAATGTTAGATTACGGAATAAATAAACAATGTACAACCAGCTCCCAGCACTTTTCAGAATAGTAGGAATAATAGCTACATGTGTTTAAAAATTCAGAATTTGTAGTGAAGCGGATATCGTTGAACTTTTGAAATTTTCGAGGGGCTGGACCCCTCATTCTAGCACGTTACTGTACAAATGTACTCCCTACGGCTATATCTAAAGTCTACACATTATCAACTTAGTTTGACAAAAAAATGTGTATTGATATATTTCAAAATATGTCTCTCTTTTTGTCTGACTACGCATGTTTCGTATTTATTTTTATGTTTACAAGCTACGATAAAAGCTTGATCCACGCCTCAAATACAGAGAAACTGCGTGTCAAACTAAGAAATGACGTCATCTCAGTAAGTACAGCGAGATCAAGCTGGCTTTCATTCGGCATACGCTAAGTGGTATTATGGCAAGATAAGTTGCATATCCATGTATCTTTATAACATTTATGAGAAACGAAAGTATTTAGTGTGTTTTAAAAAGAACATATAGTATTTATTCATCGAGATTCATTTGTATTGTTTTTAACGTGACGTCATAATAGCCCTCCCGAACCTCTGCATAGACTGACGTATATATTGGAGTCCTTAACCTAGCTGCGTTAAAGTCATCACGTTTATCATAAAGCTTTGTTGTTACATTGCCATTAACCGTCATTTTCTAGTAAAATATGCAAATATGAAACAGATGTTACAGAACCTGTGGCATCTTTTATTTCAAGCTCGCTGGGATATATCGAGTCAATCTATGAATGGAAATAACTATTGTAAATTGATAATACGTCGTCGATATATCTAAATGTCGAGTTGAAGGCCACAGCAAGAGATTTCTTTTTCTCATGTATAAGATTTTGAATAAATTCTTCTGTACATGATTGCAAAAATACGTCTACTTACAGCGGGGCGCAATTGGTACCCATGGGAATTCCAACAGATTGTTAGAAGACCTGGTGTCCAAAACCACATAGATATTGTCAATCAGAAACTTAAGCATCTTTTTAATATCAACTTCAGAGTACTTGTGTTGGTAGAGTAGATAAATGATGATTATTAAAAGTTGATTTGCAGGTGTTGAAAAGTTTGTGCACATGTTTTGTGTTACTTAGTAATGAGCTAGTCACTGCTATAGTAAAGTTCAAATTGTAGTACATTTATGCTTACTTATGTCAGGGAAATTCTATGTGGTCTCTTCCTCAGAATGTAAGAAACAGTTGCTCTATCGCCCTTAATGATGTCTACATGATCTGTTATGAGGATCTTTTGTCTGTTATGATGATGTTTACAACGTCTGTTATATGATGAAGTTTAGGCCCACATCGTCTTTTATTTTGATAGTTTTTTTAACAAGTCAATCCTCCATGAAGAACAGTTTCACAATCTGCTATACCATTTGAAGACTAGTTTCAGTACTTTACTGTACACTTTAGATTTTTGCATCGTAATACTTATTTCTGTTTTGTTCTAATTTGTCCCTCAGAAATGACCATTTAGTTATCCTGTTTCAACAAAGTGGACTTCCAAAACACGTTATTAATTGTTTTTCTTAAGTGATTTGCTTGTTATAAATATTTTCTTTGCTCTTGATATATTATAGTACGATAACTTTCCGATAAAACTGTATTCGGAAAATTGCAATATTTTCATTTGAATATTTCGCCATTTTTCAGACTGTCATCCCAGATATCTAAAGATGTCAGCAGTTCTTAAACCATTCGGTTCTCAATCAGGAAAAGGTGTAATTATATCTAACCTGTTTAACAATGGCCTGAGTGCACCCTTTTTTGTATTTAAAAAAAAAAATTATACCTTTGATTCCCGATCAGAATTAAAAAATTCTTTTTTCTTACTCTTGGGGATAGGATTACTTTTATGAATTTTACACAATATAGCCCAGTAAGATAATAATTTAAGTAGCCTTGCTATTTATAATTTATTTTGTCAGCAAGAATTTAACAAATAACAACACCAATTTGAAAACATCAAACCAATGTTCAATAATAGCCCTGAAAATGGAAAAAAAAGAAGAATCAATAATATAATGATAGAACTTTCTTTTCAAGTTTGTATAATGTGTAAATAGAATAGGAAAAGTTGATAAGAATCATAGAATTTTTTAATAAATCATAGAAACGTACCTTGTATCCTTTACCACCATAGTAAATACCTCCATATCCCTTGCCTCCAAAGTAATTTCCATATCCTCGACCTCCAAAATAACCTCCAAATCCCTTGCCTCCAAAGTAATTTCCATATCCTCGACCTCCAAAATAACCTCCAAATCCCTTGCCTCCATAGTAATTTCCATATCCCCGACCTCCAAAATAACCTCCAAATCCCTTGCCTCCATAGTAATTTCCATATCCTCGACCTCCAAATCCTATACCTCCATAGTAATTGCCATAACCTGGTCCTCCAAGATATCCATATCCCTTGCCCCCATAGAAATTTCCATATCCTGGTCCTCCAAAATAACCTCCATATCCTATACCTCCATAGTAATTACCAAATCCTTTACCACCATAATAGCCATCACAAAAGGCTACAGAGAGCAGGGCTATGAAGCAAAACAGCTTGAACATCCTGTTAGTTAAAACATGAGGTCATTATAGAGAAAAGTTGCAAGCTATACATACATAATTATATTAAGGGCGGCGTATAAAACATTTATTGTAGATATTCATGTTATTTATCCATAGGATATAATTTCCACTGTTCAGTTTGGGGATGAAACTGCTAAGTTCAATATTTTTCTGATCATATTATATTTCTTCAAAAAAGTGAGGACGTGAACATCATTGAGATAATTTTATAGAAAGCATACATGAGAGTAAATCATTTAAAGTATGCCTTGGAAGAAATATAATCATAAATAGATATGCATCTATACATATGATTTTCCAAATGCCATAGTGCCTAGCAATATATGTGCAAAATATCAAATCCATATCTCTTACAGTTCTCCAGATATAAAATGTGACAGACACCGGGTAAAGTAATCCCTAAGTGTTGCTCTGCTCTGCAGGCTACACAAAAAAGTACTGAATCAAAAATAGTTCTTACCTTGGTCAATGTGAAGATCTAAAGTGAGGTAAGGCCGTTAGAACACTCGTATTTATACTTCTACCGTTGACTTTTTTTAGTAATAGTTAAACTTCAGAAATAGTCCGGCAAGTTATTCATTTTAAAAAATTGCACTGAGACCTTTTGGTTGATAGTTCAGAGACACTTCCTTCTCTTCTGCGAAAGGTTAAAATGTAATGGTCATATATATGTATATCCTGTTATATGTCCTACTGCTGTCAACTAGAAAATATTAATGAATAATCAGAAAAAAAATGCATAAACATGTTCTTTTCCTTTTTTTACTTTAACCACAACGAAGAATTTATTAGGGTAAAAGTTGAATTATTTTTACCCCCCCCCCCAAAAAAAAGACATTGGAACGATTGCTCATCTACAGGATTATTATTACTCTGTGTATTTGCGCGCGAGAACTTTATTACTTCTATCTCTTTAGTACCTGCAAGGGAAAATCTACGTTACAAATTGCGTATGGTATGGAAGCAAATAGAGCCAGTGGAATTAGGGAGCATTGAGGCCCACACTGGTTCTAGGGTGAAGGTCCCCGGAAGTTGGTGAAATGCTTCACCATGAAATTTTTATAACTATTAGACATTACCCATCTCCTCATTATTTCATAGGCTTGATATGATCATATTTCAAGGAATAATTACATATAGCCTTAAATATAGATGTAATGCTGTCCTTTTTAAGTCCTTTTCAACATTGGTATGTGGAATAAACATAAAGGTTTTAAGGGTCAAATTTCCCCCTACCTACACAATAGTTATATCTACCAAGACGGTTAAAAATTAAGATTTTATTTTGGATATAGTTCCTATTGCTTTTGCAACCTGAATGACATAGCATTTGAAAGAATATTTTATTTCTTCATGATAATAAATCTTGAAATGAACACAATAAATTTATCAAAATCTATTTTTCACGTAAAATATGTTGTCAATGGCTTGCCTCGTTTTAGAAAGTGTTTATAAGTAGAGCATGCTCTTGCATATCGAATCAACTGGGAGACAAAACCCCGTATGCAGGTGATAAGGGTATACTGCTATATAAATAAGGAAAGTTGACGATTGAAAAATTGAAGTCATGACGTTTATCATAGAGTCTTGTTATTAGGTTACCATTAAAGTCTTTTTCTAGTAAAAGATTCAAATATGAAACAGATGTGTCAGACTCTGTGGTATCTTTTATGTCAAGCTCACTGGGGTATATCGAGTCGACATATGAATGGAAGTAACTATTGTTAATTGATAATACGTCGTCGATAGATCTAAATGTCAAGTTGAAGGCCACAGCAAGTGTTTCTTCTCATGTAGAAGTTTTTGAAAAAAAAAAGCCTCTGCTATGGGTGTAAGTTGGATTACAGTTGCAGAATTAAATCTCATCTCCTCTAAAATACAATTCAAATAATGAGCCTTAAACAAAGACAATGTTTTTCTCTGGTGTGTCAGCGGGAACCAGTGCATACTGATCGTGTTATCTATCTCCTTCTTAATTTACTTCTGCATTGTGGAAGACAGAAGGATTGATGTTTTTTTATATAGCCCCTCAGTCGCTTGGTGTTGCATTACATGTTTATTTCTCATCATAGGGAGATAGTTGACAAATCATTTATTATTCATTTCAGATAAACGACTCTGTTATGTGTATTTCAAAAGGCATATTTTGCTCTCTACACCTTTAGCCTTACCTAAAATAAAAATTAGCTGTAACAATCATTGCGTGTTTTAAGTTTGGTTTCCAGAATCTCGAGCCTTGCTCGGCACACCGTCGGTGCAGCCAAGTCGAGGCAGCCGGCCGTCTCCCTCGACCAGCTCGGTGCAGCCATTCAGCTACATATTAAGCTCAAAGTATTATAAATTAAGTAGCTAAATGTCATAACTTCATTATATTTTGTGGTATTTACAATAAATACTAATTAAGAATATATAAAAACAATTTTGTTAATAAATGGTGCATCTAACCAGTCTTTTTATGCCACGAATTCCCACATTCTGTGATAGGGTTTCTTACTATTAATCTCACCACAAAGAGAGCTAGGAGAGTTCCATTCAAGACCTCTTCCCAATCTATGGCTTTCACCCGTAGGCTTAGTACCTAACATGAGGGCTAATTTAGGATGATTCATCAGTTATCTTATTTTGCCAATTCAAGTGTTAATTCATTTATTGACCCATCTTCCTGTTCAGTTAATTACTCCTCATTAGATGAACCTGTTAGGTCACAAAGTTTGTTGGGTAAGGGAGCCTTGATTGGTAAAATCGACCTCAAATCTGCCTTTAGGTTGCTTCCTGTTGTTGGGTAAGGGAGCCTTGATGGGTAAAATCAACATCAAATCTGCTTTTAGGTTGCTTTCCCTCACCCATCAAATTTTGAACTTTTAGGTTTTAAAATAAATGTTTTTTTCTTTGACAAATGCTTGCCTATGGGGTGTTCAGTGTCTTGTAGTATTTTTGAGTTTTCATTATGTTTAGAGTAGATGTTGTAGCAACTGTCTGGACAGGCAGCTGTGGAGCATTATTTAGGTGACTTTTTGTTTAATTTGCTGGTAGCGCATGTAGCTATACATGTGATAAACTTATGTCACTTTCTGTGGGACTTATAAACAGTTAAGTGTCCCTTTAACTGATGATAAAACAGTGTAGACTTCAACTTCCCTAACCTTCTGGGGTTTTGAGTTACATTAAGTTGAAATGATAATAAGAATCCTAGCGGATAATAGGTTAAAAGATTTGATCAACAATTGTATGGCAAAAAAGAAAGCTACTCTGAGGGAATTCCAGACTCTTGCAGGTTTGATGAAATTCTTTTTGTGTGCCATTCTGTCCTGCATGGCAACTCAAACTATTTACTGACAGTACAGAGAATTCAGAATTATGTTGTGGTGTTTTCTTTAGTAATAAATGATTGTTTTTCAAGCGCCCCTCTGAAGGCAATGATAACGGAAAGATAAGGGACATCAATTTCTTGAACTTGGTCCAATTATCGTAACAATTTATGCTTGAGAAAGTCAAGTATTGTGGCCTTGGTATCAAGTTTGAACAAAAGTGTAAGCGTGTTATATGTTTGATTCGCCCCTTGGTACTTAACTCTAAGCAATATCCAGTTCAGGGCTTGTCTTATTTCAGGTGTTCATAATGAAGTTACTGATAATATTATTGCGTTGTCAGTTTCAACGTTTTCGGCTACTTGCACCTCAGCAGCCTTGGAGCCAACATCAATACCAGATTTCTTTCTAACCATCATCTCCAGTCTGAATTAGACAGATAAGTTTAGAGTTCAATTGCACCAAATAAAAGATTTGCTTATCAAACAGGTTTAGCTGAATTTGATTGCTTCATGTATCTTGTGGGTTAACTCTGGTTTGGGCTCCTTCTAAACATCAGAATATAATTTGTAACAAGTTTGTCACCTGCATCTGTTAGGACAACTGTCTGGGATAAGTTTTAAATGTAAACCTGATGGTACCTATGACTCCTCCCAAAAAGAAGGTGGCAGCAGGTATGTCAAAGCCCCTTAGATGCTAGACTTCAAATTACATCAAAGTTGTTGGAAAAGATATTGAATTTACTTCCAGTCCCTTGTAGATTTTCCTCTGAGACTTCAATATTTCCAGCAGTTTTTCATGCATATTTTCTGGCCTATTTAGGTTTGTTGAATTGGTGTTGAATAGTAAGAATAGGAGTAGTTTACTAGTAAGTTGCTGAGACAATATTCAATTCGACATCCCCGAATTTCTTGTCATTTTGATAGGTCACTATTAACGCGTTATCAATTTAATGCTATTGTGAAAAAGTTGTCATGCAATAGGGTAAACATTAAAAAGTGCAAATCAGCTTCCTTTAGTTTAGGTGGTTCCACAATATCAGATAATCAAATTCAAATACTGAGGCGTGATATATAAGAATACCAGCCTCATCGTTGATTCATGGTGAAACACTTTTTAACTGGTAGTGGTATTGTTAGCACCCTGAAACAACTTACATCACTTCAGATAACTTCAACCCTTGTTTGCTAGAGACAACCATGCTCTTAATAAAGCAAGGCTTCCCTTTAATACTTATGTTACTACAAAACTTTTAGTACATCAAGAGGAATATATTCACTACCCAGCGAGTTCACTTCAGTTGATCATAGATTATTTGAAAAGGATGGGGTGCACTTGTTAGAGCAAGGCAATTAGATCTATAATGAAACTTTGCAAAAAAGCTTGGCACAATTTTATTATGTTATAGGTTGGGGTTTTCCCCGCTCATTAAAAGATAATGGTATGGCACACTATTTCGCAGGCTAAATGATGGTAATCACACAAAAAGACACTTTTGAAGTACCTGTAATTGCAGTATGGTCATTGTTCTAGTAAATTATGTGTTAGTACAACTTATGTGTTTTTGCTTTTTGGGAAACGTGCAAAGTTACTCATTTGCGTTCTGCTACCATCATTGTTTTTATTTTGCGCAATCTTTCGTTGAACTTAAATGGGATTATGTTTAGTAAGGATCTATTTCCAGGGCCCAATACAGCTTTATATAATTATTTCCAATATATGTGACTCCTAACTTTCGAATTTGCTTTTTTGTTTCAGACTAGATGAAACGTTTGCGATGAATTATTTGCCAGTATGTTGTTTAAAAGCTTCATTGGTATATTTGCATACTTCAGATACATTTGTGTATTTTGCCTATTTCAAACTTATTTCCATTTTCATTTTATGTGTTAATTTTAATTTTGTGTGTTTAGGTTGTCAAAAACTTTCAATGTACATAGGTTGATAATCTTGTTTGTAACCAATAAATAATTGTAACAACTGATAAATAAAATAAAAATGCAGTGTTGCCATGACCATTATTTTCACCATTAAACATGAAAAGTGTAAATCTGTGTGGATTTCTCTAATAATGCATTTTTGGGTATTTGTTTCTATTTCGTCTTCCTATAAATAATGGCGGTGTTAAGTGACACTTGTACTATTTTGTAAAAAGAAGCAAGTTTATTTA